TGGTAGTCAGCAGTAGCGATAAGCCACAAATGGTGGTGGTAGTCAGCAGTAGCGATAAGTCACAAATGGTGGTGGTAGTCAGCAGTAGTGATAAGTCACAAATGGTGGTGGTAGTTAGCAGTAGTGATAAGTCACAAATGGTGGTGGTAGTCAGCAGTAGCGATAAGTCACAAATGGTGGTGGTAGTTAGCAGTAGTGATAAGTCACAAATGGTGGTGGTAGTCAGCAGTAGTGATAAGTCACAAATGGTGGTGGTAGTCAGCAGTAGCGATAAGTCACAAATGGTGGTGGTAGTCAGCAGTAGTGATAAGTCACAAATGGTGGTGGTAGTCAGCAGTAGCGATAAGCCACAAATGGTGGTGGTAGTTAGCAGTAGTGATAAGTCACAAATGGTGGTGGTAGTCAGCAGTAGTGATAAGTCACAAATGGTGGTGGTAGTTAGCAGTGGCAGTAAGACAGCTTCGCGTCCTGAAAATCGGCGCGTTAGGCGATAAAAATTAACCCGTAAAAACAAAGTTTTTCACTATAAATCCTTTATATGCGTGGCGGCCAGAGTCCTCTCGTCCTCTGGCTTGAGATGGCTGCCACCTATGGGTCAGATGATTGCCTGCCACCATTAAGCAATTGGTAATTAAATATTTTTAAAAAATCCTAGAAAGTGTAAAATAAAGTGTCACACACAACGAGTCTGTGTGCAAAATGTCAGCTCGATTGGATTACGGGAAGTGTGTTAAAAAACGACCGAAAGATTTGCACGGTCGTAAGCGCGCAAGCAAGTGAACTTAATGTAAAGGATTTTTTTAAAAATTGCGCGCAAACCTGCAAACCGGTTTCCCTCATACATGCCGTAGCAACAACAAAGTTTGATGTTGCAGTACGACTGCTACTACTACTACTGCGCACACCACGCAGGGAGACCGCGGGGACTAACAACTTTAGGGTGCGCCGCGGCCACGTTACCGTAACGCTGCGTCGCTGAGACTCGCTGAGACTCGCTCAGCCGTGCGTCTCAAGAGAGTAGTTCGTTGCCGGACGCTCAGAAACCGCGTCGTAACAGCGGGCGCGTTCGTTGCACGTTATAACAGGCGGAGGGCGTTCTGTGTTATAACAGGCGTTCTGTGTTATAACAGGCAGAGGATGTTCTGTGTTATAACAGGTGGGGGGCGTTCTGTGTTATAAGAGGCATTCCGTGTTATAACAAGCGTTCTGTGTTATAACAGGCGTTCTGTGTTATAACAGGCGTCCTGTGTTATGAGGCGTTCTGTGTTATAACCGACGGGGGGGGGGGGGGGTTCTGTGTTATAACGGTGCGGGGGACGTCCTATGTTATAACAGATGGAGGGCGTTGTGTTATAACAGGTGGGAGGAGTTCTATGTTATAACAGGCGTTCTGTGTTATAACAGGCGGAGGGCGTTCTGTGTTATAACAGACGGGGGGCATTCTGTGTTATAACAGGCGTTCTGTGTTATGAGGCGTTCTGTGTTATAACAGACGGGAGGCGTCCTGTGTTATAACGGTGCGGGCAATCCGCGGTGTGTGAACAGTAACAGTTCAAACATCCCCCCAACCGAAGCGTTCCCCCCCCCCCGTACCCCCCCCCCACCTCCCCATGAAATCGTTGCACTGGCTGGTTGGGCGGGCGGGCGGGTGGTGAGGGTCGTTTGCGAATGTGAAAACGGTTAGAAACGTCGTGACGAAACAAACCCCCTCATGTACGAAGGCTTAAACAACTTAAAGCTGAACCCGGGCACGGCGCTTGCGCGCGCCCATCTCACGATTGAAACACGCAGACGAACGACGAACGATCCGCCGCGAGTAGCTCGCAAAACCCGAAGTCCAGTACCGCTTGACAGAGGTCGCAAACGGGTTTTGATTCCTTACCCGTACCCGGCCGCACCAGGGTCGCAAACGGGTACCCGATACCCGTACCCTACCCGATACCCGGCTACCCGTACCCGGCCGGGTATCGGATAGGGTACGGGTACGGGTACCTGATTGCGACCTCTGGGATGAAGCCATGTTGCAGGCGCGGGTGGGTTGATTCTAGGAACTTGAATTGTGAGAAGAGACAAGACGTTGGGACATGAGTGACAAACGGTGACTCACCAGTGACTCACACGGCCTACCCGTACCCGGCCGCACCAGGGTCGCAATCGGGTACCCGTACCCGTAACCCTACCCGATACCCGGCTACCCGTATCCGGCCGGGTATTGGGTATGGTACGGGTACCCGATTGCGACCTCTGGGATGAAGCCACGTTTCAGGCGCGGGTGGGTTGAATCTAGGAACTTGAATTGTGAGAAGAGACAAGACGTTGGGAAATGAGTGACAAACGGTGACTCACCAGTGACTCACGGCCTACCCGTACCCGTACCCGGCTGCACCAGAGTCGCAAACGGGTACCCGTACCCAGCCGGGTACGGGTAGCCGGGTATCGGGTAGGGTACGGGTATCGGGTACCCGGTTGCGACCTCTGCCGCTCGACGACAAGGGGGGCTGGGGGGGGGGGCGGTGAGGAGGGTTACGAGGGCGGCATGTTTAGGTCGAGGTACACCGATTGTTGTCTTGCACATGACGACGTTGACCAATTTCTCTTGTAGCCCCGCCCACCACCCCAACACGTTCCATTCCCTGGTTACCACATTCAGATAAGCCCCTCCCCCCTTAACTTGTATTTAAGGGCTGGTCTTTTGGAATTTTTGTCACTTGATGAAGTAATTTTAGCTGCGACGGTCCCACCTGATGACGGAGACTTGTGTTGCCTCCGAAACGTCGTGATTTATTATTTTATTTCCATCATTACTTTTATTAACTTTTTATTAAATTTTTTACCTACGTGACTTTACCGGAAAAAAAACCTAAGAGTGTGTACCCACGAACCACGCGTCCACGATGGCGCGAGCCGTTATCAGTAACCAGAGCCCCCCCCCCCGCCACCACACCACCACCAGAGGTCGCAAACGGGTTTTGATTCCTTACCCGTACCCGTACCCGGCCGCACCAGGGTCGCAAAGCGGTACCCGTACCCGGCCGCACCAGGGTCGCAAAGCGGTACCCGTACCCGGCCGGGTACGGGTAGCCGGGTATCGGGAGGGTACGGGTATCGGGTATCAGGTACCCGGTTGCGACCTCTGCCGCTCAACGACAAGGGGGGCGGAGAAGGGTTATGAGGGCGGCATGTACCCATGACCCACACGTCCGTACGCTGATGATGGCGCGAGCCGTTATCAGTAACCAGAGCTGCCTCCCCCCCGCCACCACACCACCAACCCCCGCCAGGACTAATAGCCCCCCTCTCTCTCTCTCTCTCGACCGCTCGTTATCTCCCAGACGGAAGCCGATGGTCTTGTCGGAGGTTCTCCGGTTACCGAGGGCGGTCGAAGTGACGCACGAGGGCGCGCGTGTCTGCGCGCGTGTCTGCGTGTGCGTGTGGGACCCCTCCATCAATCCACAAGCTCAGCGGGACGATCGTCTCATGGCGCAGCCTCCCCAAAGCGCTTACCGTGGCGCCCATGAGCAGTTTGGCCGCTGCTATAAATGTCCACGCGATGGCGACGATGATGACGACGATGATGATGATGATGACGATGATGACGACGATGATGATGACGATGATGACGATGATGATGACGATGACGATGATGATGACGATGATGACGATGATGATGATGATGACGATGATGATGATGACGATGATGATGACGATGATGACGATGGCGACGATGATGATGACGACGATGATGACGATGATGACGATGACGATGATGATGACGATGATGATGACGACGATTATGACGATGATGACGATGATGACGATGACGATGATGACGATGACGACGATGATGACGATGATGACGATGATGACGATGATGATGACGATGATGACGACGATGATGATGATGATGACGATGATGATGACGATAAGCCACTTTGCCGAGCTATCAGGCAGCTTATGAAAAAATAGCTACACAGCCCAGTGGGGCCTTAGCTGGAACATAAAATAGGTACATCTTAGTTTCGTCTGTGGATCTCGGTGTATCTCTGTGGGGTTTCTATTCATACCCTTAGGTTTTTTTCGGTAAAGTCACGTGGGTAAAAAATGAAATTAAAATTAATAAAAAAATAAAATAATAAAAATCACGACGTTTCGGAGGCAACACAATGACGGAGACTTGTGTTGCCTCCGAAACGTCGTGATTTTTATTATTTTATTTTATTAATTTTAATATCATTTTTTTACCTACGTGACTTTACCGAAAAAACTAAGAGTATACATCTTAGTTTAGTCTGTGGATCTCGGTGTATCTCTGTGGGGTTTCTATTCATCTCTGTGTATCTCTATGGCTTTCTCTATGTGTCCCTATGCGTTTAGAGCATAGATGGGGAACATCCAGAAATCATTTAGTCTGGCCCTGCCAAGGCAACTGCAGACGGGACTCGAAATTCAATAAATCTAGGAGCAAACCTGGAAAAGCAGTTGCGAGTAGCAGCAACATCATCATCATCAACACCAGCTAACATCATCACACGCCTCGCCAGAGAGAAGCAGTTCCAGCCCATCGCGTTAGGGGCGAGTTAATGAAACGTTTGACCAAATATAACAGGCAAATTTTAAGTTGATAATTGTGTACGGCCCGCGAATGATGTTATAAATATCCCCACCCCTAGTTTATAGTATTTGGCTGCTGATATACATTTCCACATTACGATGGAGATAAGTCTTCTTTTTGGTTCTTTCGGTAAAGTCACGTAGAAGGGAAGTAATAAAAATAATAAAAATAAAACATAATAAAATTATTCTCACGACGTTTCGGCCACAACGCAAGCAGCCGTCCTCAGGTGAAAACCAGGTCTGTCGAGGCGACAGCGTCTTCGACAGACCTGGTTGTCGCCTCGACAGACCTGTTCTTCACCTGAGGACGGCCGTTTGCGTTGTGGCCGAAACGTCGTGAGAATTATTTTATTATGTTTTATTTTTATTATTTTATTATTTCCCTTCTACGTGACTTTACCGAAAGAACCAAGAAGATGAATCCCTGCAGTCACGAAAGCTTTAAATCGAAATTTAACCGCCACTACGGAGTGGGATTCCACAAAACTTTAAGAACCTTCAACAAGCTCCGTGATAAGAACGCTCAGCTAATCGAGTCTCTCACCTTTCTGAAGAGATGCCGCGACTCTAAGGTAATCTCCAAGCCTGGGGTGTGTCATTCAGACTCTGTCTTCTCGACGGACCTGTTCTTCACCTGAGGACGGCTGCTTGCGTTGTGGCCGAAACGTCGTGAGAATTATTTTATTGTGTTTTATTTTTATTATTTTATTATTTCCCTTCTACGTGACTTTACCGAAAGAACCAAGAAGATGAATCCCTGCAGTCACGAAAGCTTTAAATGGAAATAAGTCACTTGATTGAGCTGCGATCATTTGCGACGTCGCTTCTTCAAACAGAGCTACAGAGCTACAGGGCGGTTTAAAGTTGCGGGTGGTGACGGCCAACTCGGAAGAGTAGGCCCAATACGCGCCCACGCTGGCGGTGCTACGAGAGAATCGCCGGCGGTCGGCATCGGCATCGGCGTGCCCGCCAAGGACGTCTCGATGTAAAGCTTTCGTGACTGCAGGGATTCATCTTCTTGGTTCTTTCGGTAAAGTCGTCACGTAGAAGGGAAGTAATAAAATAATAAAAATAATAAAAATAAAACATAATAAAATAATTCTCGCGACGTTTCGGCCACAACGCAAGCAGCCGTCATCAGGTGAAGACCAGGTCTGTCGGGGAGACAGCATCTGAATGAAACACCAACACGCTTGGAGCGTATATTTAAGCTGCTGGGTTGGAAGGGGGGAAGAGCGCCTTGACAAAATAATTTGCATATCAAGAGGAATTTAGCATATTTATGGGAAATGCAGATATGGGATTAGTCACTACTTGTGAAATGCGTAGGAGGTGGGCGGGGGTTTTATTTTATTATGTTTTATTTTTATTATTTTATTACTTCCCTTCTACGTGGTGACTTTACCGAAAGAACCAAGAAGATGAATCCCTGCAGTCACGAAAGCTTTAAATCGAGAATAATTTTATTATTTATTATGTTTTATTTTTATTATTTTATTATTTCCCTTCTACGTGACTTTACCGAAAGATAGTGACCTCTCGTCAAATCGCATTCGAATACAAACGTCCATTTAAAAAAAGCTACGACCATAACGATAATAGCAAACAAAATCGATACGTACTTGCGTACGTGCGTGCGTGCGTGCGTGTATAAAAAATAAGTTTAAAAAAAGGAACTTTAAAAAAATTATTCAGATCCTAGCGGACGGAGGGCGTTTGTAGGTGCAAGGCGGTGAGCGGGGGAGGGGGGTCTGGTGACATTCATTGAGATTGGTGAGCCAAAGCGAGACCTACATTAACCCTCTCATAGAGTTCATTTGACTTTCATAGAGACCTCTACATTAACCCTCTCATAAAGTTCATTTGACTTTCATAGAGACCCCTCCATTAATCCTCTCATAAAGTTCATTTGACTTTCATAGAGACCTCTACATTAACCCTCTCATAGAGTTCAGTTGACTTTCATAGAGACCCGCTTTCCACAACGACCTTTTTCCGTCGCTCACCGCTGGGTGAACTATCTTGCTAAGGCGATGAAAGGAGCGGCGACGCAAGTAACAGCCAGAGGTCATCAGCGGTCGCAGGCATCATCGACCCCCTGAACCTCGATGACCCCTTGACCTTTTATCTCTTAACCCCCATCTCCCCTCCCACTCCCCCGACCGATGGCTGACCAATCGCTCGCTCGATCACTCGCTCGTTCGCTATCTCCCTCTCTGCTGTCTCTCTCCCCCATCTCTCTCTTTTTTATTTTTTATTTACGATCAGTGGAAACAAGAAGATGCCCGGTGTATTCGGCACTTTGCTTCGTTCATCATTTCTCGATCCCTCCGTCTCTCCCCGTCTCTCTCCCCGTCTCTCCCCGTCTCTCTCCCCCCTCTCCGTCTGTTTCTCTCTCTAGTGTCTCCCTTGTGTCTCTGTCTCTCTCCCATCCCTCCGTCTCTCTCCCATCTCTCTCAGTCTGTCCCCACCCCGTCTCTCCCCACTCTGTCTCTCTCTCTCTTCTGTCTCCCCCGTCTCTCTCCCATCCCTCCATCTCTCCCCGTCTCTCTCCCATCTCCCTCCGTCTCTCCCCCTCCTTTCCGTCTGTGTCTCTCTCTCTACTGTCTCCCTTGTGTCTCTGTCTCTCTCCCATCCCTCCATCTCTCCCCGTCTCTCTCCCCCCTCTCCATCGCTCTCCCCACCCGTCTCTCCCCTCTCCCCACCCCGTCTCCCCGTCTCTCTCCCATCTCTCTCCGTCTCTCCCCACCCCGTAGCTCTCCCCACCCTGTCTCTCCATCTCGCCCCCACGTCCCTCAGCCTTCGACTCTCTTCACCCACCCCTCCACCCACCCACCCACCCCTCCACTCATCCACCCAACCCTCCACCCACCCCTCTCTCCACCGCGCTCACTCGGGCCGCTCCAGCCTCTCGCGCACGTCGGCGGGCAGCGCGTCGTACAACTCCTGCTCCACCACCAGGCCCGCCCGCCGCAGCGACGTGCACTCCCGCAGCTCGGCGGGCAACGCCTCCAGCGGGTTGCCCCGCAGCTCAAGGGTCGCGAGCGCCACCAGCGACGCCACCTTGGGCGACAGCGCCGTCAGCGCGTTGCCGCCCAGCCTCAGCGTCTTGAGCTTGCGGCAGAAGAACAGCTCCTCCGGCAGGGACTCCACCTTGTTGCCGGCGAGCGACAGGAAGAGCAGGCTCTGCAGGACGCCCACCTCGGGCGGCACGAAGCGGATCTCGTTGTGCGCCAGGTCGAGGTGGCGGAGCTTGTTGCAGAGGAAGAGGTGCGAGGGGAGCACGCTGATGCGGTTGCGCGTCAGGTAGAGGCGCTCGAGGTGGCCTAGGCGCTTGATGTGCTCCGGGATGGTGGCGATGTGGTTGTGCCACAGCTTGAGCGTCGTCAGCTTGTGCAGGTGCTGGAAGCTGAGGATCTCCTCGATGGAGCGCAGGCTGTTGTCACGCAGGTCCAGGTCCTAGGGGGGGTGAGGGGGGTGAGGGGGGGTGAGGGGGGTGAGGGGGGTGAGGGGGGGGGGGGG